CAGCATATTTTGCTATTATTGGGGAAAAGGGGAAATATAAAGAGGCAGGGAGAGTGTACTTATTATTGAAAAATGCCAACTATGTTTTTTACATTTGGTGGTCCCAACATTTATCCCCATTGCCACAGTACTAGGAAAAGTACACAAAGTCCACTGTTCAGTGTCATTTTAATTTGTTAAAAATACTGAACAAAACTGAGTTTCATTATGGACTTGCTGCAGAGGGATTTTTTTCCTTCTCTGTCTGGCTTGAACAACTTTTAAAGATTTTAGGCATGATGTAGTCTCCTGTCCCTGCTCCTTTCAGCAGGGGTTACCATTACTGAACGCTCTCTTCCAACCGCAGGTCACTGCAAAATTGCATTGCAAATTTTTGTTTGTCATTCACGCACTCAACTGTCAGATATACTGGACTCTTGGAATCAACAGAACAAAATATACCATAAGACCAGCAAAAGTTTGAACTCCTTAAGTAATGACATGTGTAAGACAATTTGAAAGTTTGTAGTTTACCTAAATTGCAATCATTGAATATAAGTGAATTACCCTGTTGTGTTTTGGAAGGCTCGGTAAATTGTTTTGTCAAGAGTCTCTTGTACAGCTGACAAATGCAGTTGAGGGAACATGACTCTTTTAACCAAATGTGTTCCTGATCGTCGTAATCTGGTGAACGAAGCATGCCTGGTATTACAGACCTCAGGCTTCAGCCCACTTGTTACATGCTTGGGTGAAATGGTTGAATTTTGATAAAAAAGGCAAGCATACTATGCAGCTTGAGTTGTATTTGTGCTAGACATGAATTCTCTCAAAAGATCTTGTCTTTTAGGCTTTGTAACTGGAAAACAGCAAACACTAAGAATTTAAAGAGTAAAACAACCAATGCTGCCATTTCATCATAGTGACTTTCTAATGGTAAAGGGATCAGAGCTCCCATGTAATGGATCAGTGTATAACTATAACACGTTTAAAACACCATCCTTAATCGAGTGCTATACAGTTCATCACCAAAATGCACAGGACCCAACATTCTTCTTCTTGTCATGTTGTATCATCTTGTGCTATGTGCCTGGGGAATAGTTCCAGTGACAATGAATAGTTACAGCTGTAGTGAAATAAATAGTGAGCCATACACACACAGACTCTGTTCTGAAG